AAAATCACATTTTGAAATCGTCCCGCTTCCCCCAGCAGTGAAGATGCTGCCAATTTTAAACCCAATGCACGCGGAGGTAAGGCGAGAACCACATGTTCCCCCCCCGCCCTCCATTCGTGAAACTGCTGTACACTTTTACGACGAATGCGCGCGGCGCTAAGGAGACAACAACAAAGTTTTGAACATGACCCCGTGAAACCGCTGCAATATATTACGGCGAATGCGTGCGGCACGTGGGCGAGAACCGCACGTTGAAAACGATCACACCTCCATCCGCGAAGCCGTTGCACATTTTTATCATCAAGATTTTTGATGGCGAGGAGGTATACGGCGAAACGCCCAGCCTACCATACCCACACGCGTGGGGGTGCGACACGGAGGAATTATGTATACGGAAAAGCGATGGAAAAAGAGGAGACGCAATAAACGAGGAGGCGAACAACCACAACCGGTGAGACATTAGTGCGAAATTGCCCCAGCGGCAAGGCAGGCGAAGACAGGCCACGTCATGACGTCGTGGGAGGGGGGAGATGGGGAACGACGCCCGGTTAGAACAGTGGGAGAGTGCAGTGGGAAAGTGGAGGGGGAGAAGGGGAGGGAGGACGGATGATTGAAAAGGGAGGGGCGATCCCAGCAGAAGATCAGAAGGATGAGGAGAGCAGGGAGAGAGGTGATGATAATGATGGAGCTGCGGGCACAGCCCTCCTTGCAGGGAGCTGCGGGGCCCAGTGGGCGTCCGACAGCAGCCCAGTGGCAACGTCGGCTCAGGGAAAGGCGTGCACTCTCGAGAGGGGGCGCGTGGCGGGAGGGGGAGTGCAGGAGGTTCACAGCACCAACACAAGCAACCCCGACTCGATCGCCCTGGCCTGCCAGTGGAGATGGACACGCGACATCCCAGAAGGCAACACACAAAGGGAGGGAGAGGGCGAACGCGGCCCTCCAGCAGGAAGCCTCGCCATACCTCGGCTCCACCCCACGGCAACACACGGCGCAGGCGAGAGGCCCAGGGGCAGAGGCAGAGAGGATGAGACCCCGAGCCCAAAGGCTACAGATGCCCACTCCTACCTAGATGGAGCTCCGAGCCCGACCCAACCCAGACGCAGCCCTCCCAGCACCACCCAGCCCAGCCGCGCGAGGTCCAGGCGGGAGGGGCGGAAAAGGCAAGGAGGGAGGACAGGAAGGAAGGGAGGGAGGAGAGAGCGAGGGACCTCGTCGGCGGCCGAACCACCCAGGCACTGCTGGCGACAGCCAGGCCGCAAGCACGAGGGACCTTCGTTGCCTCCGGGGATCTCCGAGGACCTCCGCAGGCCTCAAAGAACCTCCGATGGCCTCCAAAGGCCTCCGAAGGCCCGCAAAAGGACCGCCGCAGGCGCCAGCGGACCTCAGGTGGTCTCCGAGGGCCACCGAGGACCTCCAGGGACCTCCGACATATCCGAAGGCCTCCGACATCTGGACCACAGCGTGCCGAGACTCGATTATGTCGATGTGCGCCCGCCGCCCAGCACAAGCCCAGCCCTCCCTGCTCCTCCCGTCCCAGCCCCGCGAGGGCCAGGAGGCAGGGAGGGGGGAGGCAGGGAGGGATGGAGGCGAGGAGGAAGAGAGGCAGGAGAGAGAACGAGGGGCCCGACAGCAGACTCAAAGCCAGGACCCGTGGAGAAGCCGGAGAGGCGGCCGGTGCCTCCCCCAAGGCTCCCGAGGCCAAAACGTCCGTGCAAGGCCAGCGGCTGCTGGGCGAAGCCAGACTACAGTTAGGTCGGGCGTGTCCCCCTACTGGCGGGTTTTGGACGAAACAGAACAAAGTCCCAAACAGATTCCAAAGTAGTCAACGACGGGCCAAGAATCGTCCCCAGGCTACTAGTCTCCTATTTTTGAATCATTTCCTCCTGTCGAGGCACACACAGGCCCGGCTTAAGGCTACAGAGACAAACCCAGGAGCCCCAGGAAGGCCGGAGATGCGGCCGGTCCGTCCTGCGGGGCGCCCGAGGGCGAGGCTCCCGGGCACGGCCGGCGGCTGCCATGGGCGACGCAAGGCTGGGTGCCCGGCCCAGCCGCCCAAGCCCGAGCAGCCCAGCCCCATCCAGCCGGAAGGGGAGGACAGCCCAGCAGCCCCATCCAGACCAGCCCGGGAGGGAGAGGCACACGCACATACACACACACGCACACACACACGCAGACACACACGCACACGCACACACGCACACACACACACACATAAACGCGCACACACACACACGCACACGCACACGCACACGCACACGCACACGCACACGCACACGCACACGCACACGCACACGCACACGCACACGCACACGCACGCACACGCACACGCACACGCACACGCACACGCACGCACGCACACGCAGACGCAGACGCAGACGCACGCAGACGCACACGCACACACGCACACGCACACACACACACACACACGCACACCCGCACGCACGCACGCACGCACGCACGCACGCACGCACGCACGCACGCACGCACGCACGCACGCACGCGCGCACGCGCGCACGCGCGCACGCGCGCACGCGCGCACGCGCGCACGCGCGCACGCGCGCACGCGCGCACGCGCGCACGCGCGCACGCGCGCACGCGCGCACACGCACACGCACACGCACACGCACACGCACACGCACACGCACACGCACACGCACACGCACGCACCCACGCACCCACACGCACCCACACGCACCCACACACATACACACACGCACACACACACACACACACATAAATAGACTCTAATCCCAAGATTCCCTATGTTATCCCATACTTTCTTAGTTTTCGCCTTCCCCCCCCCGCTTCCCATATTTCCCCATAAATTCTGTGGGATCGACGATTCATTTTGTCTGTGTGTTTCTTCCCTCCTGTGGTTAGTCCTGCGGAGTGAGGCTGTGAGCGATCCTTGTCGAGGTCGCTCCAAATATGTATGCCCGGCGGCGCACGATCTGCCGCATGGGACTGACCCGCCCGCTCCCCAACAGCCCCCCCGCCCAAAACAGCACCGCTCCACGCTCCACCGAAGGGTGTGGCTTGCAACTGGCACCCCGAGGGGCATCCTGCGGGGCGGGCGAGGACCTCGACAGAGCTCTCCGCCGCGCCCCGAGGGAGGCCCGACGAGGACAGCGTCGTACCCCCCAGGCCCCGACGGTGCCGATCGCAAACCGCACCACGGCGTAAGCACACCTTTTTTGGTAGCCGCCGAAGAGCATCCCAGCGGGGAGCCCGGCGGCGCGCGCCCAGGGACCGGCCAGCACAGGCCGCGCGGAGCTGCCGTGCGGCCTCGCAGCCCCCGAGGGCCTCTGGCTGCGGACGGGCCTCTGGCAGAATGTGCGCTGCTGCTGCTGCGCCCACGACCGGCGTGCGTCCGGGTGCGTCAGCGCGAGGAGCCTGCACCGCAAGCGGGCCCTCGAGCGCTGGCAAAGGAGCTCCGCCCAGGGCACCGCTTGTTCTGTGGCCCTGGCGAGGTCCTCCCTCGGGAGAGAGCCCCACGAGGAGAGGGGGAAGCGGCCGGGTGTGGGAGCAATGGTCATCCAGTAGTTTCCCGCGGCAGCGTGCCTCCACCAAGGGCCGAACGTGAGCTTTGTTTTGCGCTCTGGTCCCCGCTGCCTGCTAGGCTTGTGGATGCCATGACAATGGACACTCTAACAATCCTAGCATTGAATTAATAAAGATGTACCTAAAATGTTTAAATCATGTTCTTATATCTGAAACATGTTTGAAACATCTTTGAGATCTGGATACCATTTGGCAGCATGCTTCCTCTCCATTGATCGTCCTCCACAATGCTAGGCGCTCCAGGCCAGCCAGTGTGGCAGACCCCAGGAGCCGAGCAAAATCAAAGCAGAGCGCGCCCATGAGGCGCCGGCTGCAAATTGTGCTCTGACAGACGCCGCCCTGTAGAGGTAAAGGTCGTCGTCGGGGAGAAGCCAGAGCAGTCTGCGTCGCCCGCCGCGGCTGCAGCGGTGGGGTGTTGGAGGCCGGTCCGCAAGGCCTTCAGAAGCTCCCCCCGTGCACCCTGAGTCCGGAGTGCCCACCCCGCCCCCCGCAGCCGGCGTGTCTCACCCAGGCCCTCGGCAGAGCAACCCTACAGTCGGACTTCATTGGAGAGGACATGCGAGAGGACACAAGACCCTTCCGAAGGCCACATCGCCATTGGAGTGTAAGAAGGCACGTGTCGCGAGGCACAGGACACAAGGGTACCCTTGAGCTGGCAGGGTCGACCTACTGATCTGGGCCGACTGTACTCTAGATGGGGCAAGAATCGCCCCCCCCCCCCCTGGATCCGCTGGGGGGTTGGGCACGTGCTGTCGGAACGGGTGGAGGGGGGGGGTGAGGAGGAGAAAGAGGAGGGGGAGGAGGAGGAGGAGGAGGAGGAGGAGGAGGAGGAGGAGGAGGAGGAGGAGGAGGAGGTGGAGGAGGGGTGGGGGAGGGGCAAGCTCCGTCGGAAGGTCAGTCGCCCCCCCCCCTGATAAAAACATACCCCAGCCAGAGTAATGCCAATCAGCAGGCACCTTCCAGGAGCGACGCCGTCAAGGTGTCCGTGCAGGTTGTGGATGCGAGAGGTACGGCGGTGCCGCCCCCGTTGCGGTGCCCTGGAAGGTGGGCACTGCAGAGGCGCCGTTGCTTTTCAGGGAAAGAGTGAGGGAGGGAGGGAAGGAGAATGCAGGAGGAGGGATGGAGGATGCCGGAGGAGGGAGGGAGGATGAGGGATGAGGAGGGAGGGAGGGAGGGAGAATGCAGGAGGAGGGATGGAGGATGCAGGAGTAGGGAGAGAGGATGAGGAGGGAGGGAGGGAGGGAGGGAGGGAGGGAGGATGCAGGAGGGAGGGAGGGAGGGAGGATGCAGGAGGAGGGATGGGGGATAATGAAGAATGGATGATGCAAAGTGCCTACTTAGAAATGACGGGGGGAGAGGAAGGAGGAAGGACGGAGAAATGAACCCATCCATCTCCCCTTTCAGTTCCTCCTAGAAAATACTGCTACGTCCCAGAGCACCCGGAAAGCTATCACGTCTCCAATCTCCAGCCCGTTCTCGAGGACGTTCTTCTGTCCTGCCCGAACGCAAAACGTGGTACTCAACCTCACCACCAACTGCGAGTGATGCAGTTTCGGATGGAGCATTCGGATCAGCGGAAGATATGCAATATTCTGTGGGGGGTGTGAGTCACACAAAGAGGGTGCCAATTCTGTTCGCCGAATCAGCCCGCCTGCGTACACACAGCACGAGGGGGTACATCAAGCTACACCGAGGGCGAGCAGCGCATGCGAAGGAGGCATGTCAAGACATTATCACACCCCTTCTTGACGAGTCTCCCTCTCTGCCTCGGTCCGACCCTCGCCCCTATCCCACGTCTCGACCTCTCCGTCCTCTTCTGCCCCTCCTCTTCGACACGTCGGCCGCACACGTACCAGTCTAAGATCTGAGACCCAAGAGCTACACTCTGACGAGAGGTCATGCTCGAGAGGTATCCGCAGGGCGCATACTTGTCTGACCAGCGGTCAGGCAGCCAATGATGCGTCAGCGAGGTGGAGCAAAACAAATCGTTGTCACTGGAGCGAGAAACATAAGACATGTATTGTTTTGAAACAAAGACGCATCCACGCGCTGCTCACTTGTCTGGTCGCTTGGTCAAAACGTGAGCGCACCCAGAACGGAACAATCCATCGCTGTTAGAGGGAGCATCTTCGGTCTCTTGGGACCGTTTGGAGGTCGTCTTTGAGGGCGCGGGGGTCTCTTGGAACCGTTTCGAATCCGTCTGGGGGGCCTCTCGGGCCGTCTTGGTGCCCTATTGGGCCATCGTGGGTCTCTCTGGGCCGTCTTGGGCGTCTTCTGGGATCGTCTTGGCGCCGTCTTGGGCCGCCCCTCCCTCTCCTCCTCCTCCTCCTCCTCCTCCTCCTCCTCTTCTTCTGCTTCGTCTTCTTTTCCTTCGTCCTCCTCCTCCTCCTTCAGCCTCCTCCTCCTCCTCCGTCCCCTCCTCCGTCCCCTCCTCCGTCCCCTCCTCCCCCCGTCGCCCGTCCGCGCCGCCGCGCCGCCGCCCCGCTCCCACGTAGATGTCGTTCTTCCCCCACCGGGACGCGCACTCAGGGCACACCACGAAGCCGAAGCCCTGGTCCGGGTCGTACCTGCCCGGGGCTCGAGGCGGAGGGCCGGCGACGGCGCGGTGGAGCACGGGGCGCGCTCCTCCAGGCGAGCGCCCAGGCCCGCGGGGGCCCGCAGAGGGGGGGGGCGGGGGAGGCAGGCATGAGCTTCAGGTCGGGCACGTGCTTTTACAGGGGGATGTGGGACGGAACATAAACAGATAGTCACAACAACACCTCAAGAAAGGTCAACCGATAATGGGAAAATCGTCCCCAGACGATGTTTGGACTATCTGAACATTCCTCCTGTAGAGGGACACGCCCGACTTGACGTGAGCTGGATCGCATCGAGAGATCGAATCGGATCGGGAACGGGTCGGATCGCCAGCGAATCGTCCCGAATCGGATCGAAATCGGATCGCCGCGAGAGGCTCTGGCTGGCAGCGGCCGATGCTGGCGAAACGGGCCGAGTCGAATCGAACCGGAATCGCGGCCCCGGCTGGCGAATCGAATCGCATCGCATCGAATCGTAGGGCGGCCCTGCGAGGCCGAGGCTGCAGGCTTACTCAAGCCAGCGTCGTGGAGGTATCGGGCGTGGAACTCGGGGGGGAGGCATCTGGGTGGCGCCCCTGCCCCCCTCCTCGGCCTCTCGGGCCTCTCCCGGGGGGGGGGGGGGGGGGGGGGGGGGGGCGGGCCGCAGGAGGGAGGGGCAGCCTGCGGCGCCACGCGGGTGGCGGAGGGAGGGTGGTCCTTCGGCGACTCCGAAGGGTGGTGTGGTTTGCAGAGGGTGTGATTTGCGGCTGGCACCCTGGGAGGCACCCTTGGGGGGGGGGACTGGGACCTCGGTGTAGAGTTCTCCGCCGCGCCCCAAGGGCCCCCGCGGCCCCAAGAGCCGTGGGGTGGGGTGGCAGGAGGGGGGGGGACGGACTAGGAATCCCACCAGCCCTCTGGGCGTCGGTGGTTTAGAGCGGTTCCTCTTACACCCCTCCTTTTTCCCCTTCGGGGAAGGGTTTACCCCTCCCCCTATCCCCTACCCATGGACCTGGACAAGGGGGTTCGCGAGGTGTCGGAGCGTCCAAAACGGCCTCGGCGAGGAAGCCAAACTCATTGGTTCTACCAGGGTTTGGGCCCCATGTTGGCCTCCTGAGGAGGGGGCTGTAATTAGTACCCCCCCTTCCTGTGATCGATCTCACCCAAGGTGGCCCAAAGATGGTCCCCAAGGCTCCCAAGGGTGCCCCAAGAGGTGGCCAGGAACCCCCCAGAGGCCCCCAGGATGCCCTCAAGAGGCTCCCAAGAGACCCCCAAGAGGCCCCAAGAGACCTCCCAGAGGCACCCAAGATGCTCCAAGAGGCCTCGGCGAGAATGCCAAATCACTGATTTTAATAAGGGGGGGCACTGATTAAGATGACGCCAAGAGCGCCTAGGAGAGCCCAACATGACCTCCAAGATGGCTTCAGATATCCCAAAATGTCTCATACTGGCTTCTTCTGTGTGCTGCCCACTTCCCTGATCGAGGCATCTCCTCTGGGCATCGTTTCTGGATGGGCTGGTGGGGATTCGCGAAGCGTCAAAAATTACGTGCGATCACTTAACTGGAACCCACGTCTTTGCCAAGAAGCTGTGGCGATGATCGAGATGGCCCGTGCAAATACTGACAGTGAACCCCCTCAGCTTTACAAACTATCCCTGTGAGTCCTCTGGCATCGAAAAATCCCACCAGCCCTCTGCGCGTAGGTGGTCACACGATGTGTCTCTTGCCCCTTTCCAGGCCCCCCTTCCTTCCCTTCGGGGAGGGGCGGGGAGGGGGTACTCTCTCCCTCCCCTCGCTGAGGTCTGTTGGGGATCCGCGATGTATCAAAGGGTCCTTCTTCGCCCAAGATGGCTCAAGAAGGGCCTCTGATAATACAATATGGCCGCATGATGGCTCATGGTAGCCGACGATGGCTCAATATGGTTCAAACATGCTCCGAGAAGCCCCGAAGACCGCTCCAAGACGAACCCAAGTGCTCTCGGAGCCCATCGAGGACCTCCCCAAGAAGCACTGCGCTAAACACCACCCAAAAGAAAGGTCCAAAAGAGGCCCAAGGGAGGCCCCAGAGGGGCCCAAGATGTCCCCAAGACGGCCCCATAAGAGGCCCCCAAGACTGCCCAAGGAGGCCCCCACGAAGCGATGTTCACGGCCCCTCGAGGGGTGAAGAACTGAAAGGACCACCCCTCCGTCAAGCGATGGCCTCCACGATGGCCCCAAGAGGCTCCCCAGGGCTCCCAAGCGGTCCAAAGCCCTCCAAAAGAGCCCCAAGAGGGCCCCAATACCCCACAAAGCGAGTCCCAAGAGGGCCTCGAGACAGCCCCAAGAGGATGCCAAGCAAGGCATCAGGAAGACCCCAAGATGGCTGCCAGGGTCCTTGTCATCGTCCTTGATTCTTCCCCCTCGTCCTCTTCTTGCTCCTCCTCCTCCTCCTCCTCCTCCTCCTCCTCCTCGTTCGCGTGCTCGTCCTCCTGGTCCTTCTCCTCCTTCTTCTCCTCCTCCTCCTCGTCCTCGTTATCCTCCTCCTGCTCCTCCACGTACCTCTCTGGGCAGATGTACCACTGCACGCTCTGCGCGCTTCTGCACTTCCCTGAAGGCGGCAACCCACCTGGGGGCTCCGCCGGCGCCCCCGCTCATCGCCGTCAGCCCCCGGGGGGATCACGGCGCGAAGCAGGCCTTGAACCCCGCGCCGCTCAGCGTGCGCAGGCGCTCCCCCCGTAGTCGGCGGCCCAGACCTTCGCCGCCTCGCCCCTCGAGGCCGCCAGCACCTGCTGACCGTCCGCCGAGAACACGGCGGAGATCACCCAGTCCTAGTGGCCTGCCAGCGTGCGCAGGCACTCCCCTGAGTCGGCGGCCCAGACCTTCGCCGTCTGGTCCCACGAGGCCGTCAGCACCTGCTGCCCGTCCGCCGACAACGCGGCGGTCGTCGCGTCGCCCCAGTGGCCCTCCAGCGCGCGCAGGCAACCCCCCCGAGACGGCGGCCCAGACCTTCGCCGTCTCGTCCCTCGAGGCCGTCAGCACCTGCTGCCCGTCCACCGAGACCACGGCGGACGTCACGTCGGCCCGGTGGCCCTCCAGCGTGCGCAGGCACTCCCCGCAGTCGGCGTCCCTGACCTTCGCCACACCCCTGGTGCACGTCACCATGCGGCGCCTCCTGGTGACCACGAGGGTCAGCTCACTGCCGCCCTGGACCCCGATCTCGCCCAGCGTCGCGGCGCCGCACAGCTCCGCCCCCCCAAACAGGATGCGCACCCCGTGGCCGGCCGCCTCCTGCTGCTCGGGGACCTTCGCGAGGAGGTCGCCGAGCTTCCACGACGGGTCGCCTCCACGGCCGCGAGCTCGCGCCCGCTGCACGCCACCACCGAGATGAGCATGCTGACCTGGGTGCCGAGAGCCCAGATGTCTGTGGACAGGGCCGAGGGCGGGGCGAGGACAGCTCAGCTCGAGCAGCTTGAGCCAGAATGGCTCCGAGATCGCCAGGACGCCTCCTCGAGGCACCCGAGAGAGCGCAAGAGACCCCCCCCAAGTGGCAAGAGGCCCCCAGGAAACCTCCAAGAGGCCCAAACAGGTCTCCAAGAGGATTCCCAAGAAACCTCGAGAGACATGTAAGAGGCCTCTGGTGCACAACCCAGGCCAGTGGCGGGTTTGGACGAAGGCCACTCGATAGTTGCTGCGCTGCCTTGACCAGGAGGACGCCGCCGACACCGACGCCCACGCCCACGACGAAGACCTCGACGACGACCACGACCACGACGACGACGACGACCATGACGACCACAACGAAGACCTCGACGACGACCACGACCACGACGACGAAGACCATGACGACCACGACGACGACGACGACTGCGGCGGCAGCCGCGGCGGCGGCGGCGATGACGACGACGACGACCGACCGACCGACCGACCGACCGACCGACCGACCGACAACGACGACAACTTCCACGACCGCCGACAACGACGGTGACGATGCGGGCGGAACATCAGCGACGATGACGCGACACGACAACGCGGGCGGACGGGACAACTGCAACGGACGACGACGACGACGACGATGACGACACGAAACTGCCACTCCAACGAACGGTCGGACTCTTCTGGGCGGGTAATTGGGGCGGGCGAAGCTCGACGGGCTGGGCGGGCGGGCGGACCCTAACGGACAGGCGGGCCTGGCGGGCTTAACGTTGAAGCGGGCGGGCGGGATAGAATGTAATGAAGCGAGCGGGCGGACCCTGACGAGCGGGTCGAGCGGGTGGACACTGAAGGGCGGGTCGGGCGGTCGGAGCCTGACGGGCTGCGGGCGGGCTGGCGGGCGGCTTTGCATGCGGGCGGGCGGCTTTGCATGCGGCAGCGAACGAGCGACGGGCGGGTCCGGCGGGTCGGCCCCTGACAGGGGAGGCAGGCAGGCGAGCCCTGGCGGCTGGGACGCGCGGGTGGGCCCTAACAGGCAAGCGGGACAATGACGCGGGCGCGGTGGCTCTCTTGCAAGCGAATGGTCGGGCCCTAATGGGCGGGTCGGGCCAACAGAATATGAAAGCGGGCGGGCGGGCTTCCACGCAGGCGGGCGGATGACGGGCGGGTCGGCCGGAAATCCCAAAACGGCGGAACGGGCGGGCGGACCTTCACGTAATAGGCATGCGAGCGTGACCTTAAAGCGGGCGGGCGGGCGTTCATTCAAGCGAGCGGTCGGAGCCTCACGGGCAGGTCGGGAGGGCAGGCCCTCACTGGCGAGCGGACCCCAACGAGCAAGACATGAAAGCGGGCGAGCAAGTGTTTTTTACAGCGTGTTGGGCTCGTCGGCCATGTCGCCGTCGAAGCCGTCGCTGACGGTGGTCGTCGTCGTCGTCGTCGTCGTCGCCGTCGCAGTGGTCGTCTTCGTCGTCGTCATCGTCCGTCGTCCGCCGTCGGCGGCGTACCAGCTCCGGTGCCGGAGCGGTCCCCCCCGCTTCCCCCAAGCGACCACGGAAAAGACATGTCTTCTCAAGTTTAGGTCGGTGATCAAGCCGCTACGTCTGCACACCGTGGCGCACACGTCGTCAGGACAGCGAGCGCGTGCTTGAATCTCTGATCAAGAGAGAGCGGCAGTGGTCACGTTCCATGCGACAGCTTCCCAGCTGACGAGACGGGGGCTCCACCGTGGGCTGTCCCTCTGGGAAGGCCTTAATACGGTCTGGCCCGCATCTCAGTTGAGGCAGGCGACACGGCGGCCGAGACCTCTGAGCCAGCTCCAGTGGTCCAGTCAAGCATGAACAGAATGCGCCCGGCACGAACGCTAGCCCTTAGCGAACGACCACCGTGCAACAGAGCTCCCTGGGCGGTGCGGCGCACCGCCCGTCATCCCAAGAGCTCCGCCTCCCAGGATGGTCGTACACATGCGCACCGCAGCCGCCTTGACAGCCGCCTCCTGCCAAGCGCGAGGAGGTACAGTCAACCCGCGTGGTATGGTAAGGATGGGCATCCTTCCCAAGGGTACCATGGCATCCTTGCCTCCTCGGTCCATCCTTGGCCACCTTCGTTGGCCGCGCCCCGCTCGAAAACGCTTCGAAATGGGCATCCGAGGCCCTTGCACCCCTGTCGCGCATCCTTATGGTACGGCTCGACTGTCGGAGGGCGCAGGGACGACGACGGCGGCGAACACCACCGCCACCACGACGCCGACGAACAACGACGACGACGGCGAGGGCGGGATGGTGTGTGTATGTGTGTGAATGAGTGTGTGAATGTGTGTGTGTGTGTGAATGTGTGCGTGTGGTGTGTGAAGTGTGTGTGTGTGTGTGTATGTATGTGTGTGTGTGTGTGCGTGCGTGCGTGCGTGCGTGCGTGCGTGCGTGTGCCGCCCCCTCCCCCACACCTGTCTTGCAGGGCTGAACCGAAACGGTTTTCGTTTTGTTTCGTTTTCCCTCGCTTTTGTCTCGGATCCGCCTTTACCGCAAAACGAAGTCGAAACGAAAACGGCCCACGAAATCGCAAAAAAGCACCGCTTAGGTCCAGCCCTGCTGTCTTGGGGGGGGGGGGGCCGAGGGCGCGCCGCGCCAACGTGCCGATGAAGGTGTCGGGGTCCGAAGACCTCCTCGGGCAGGGGCCGGGGCAGGAGCGCCCCGCCGTTCTCCACCGTCCTCGCTCGGCCCACCGTCACCCCCCCTTCCCCCCTCCCCCTGCCCTCTCTCTCTGCTCCCTCCGGCCCTCTCCCGATCTTCCCTACCTCGCTCCCTCGCCCCCTCTTCATCCCTCTCCCAGATACCCTCCCTCCGTCCCACCCGTACCTCTCCTACACCCTTGTCCGTCCCAGGGTCGGGCGTGTCCCCCTGCAGGCGGAGCTTGGGCGAAAAATGAGAAATACTAGAAAAATAGCCAAAAATGGTTTAAACAAAATCTGTCGAACAATAGTCCCCTGACTATTTTCGACTATGTTTGAACATTCCATCTGTAGAGCATGAAAAGACCAAACCGAACCGAGAACCGATAACAGTGACCGAACCGGACCGAACTGGCCCTAAACAAGGGAAATCAAAAACCGAACCGGACCGAACCGAATTCATTCAGAACCGAACCGGGGGGAACCGAACCGAACCATTCAAAACCAAATCGGGCATGTCCCTCTACTAGAGGGACATGCCCGACTTAATCCTAGTTCTTGCTGTCCCCCCTCTCTACCCCCCGCCCTCCTCTCTACCGAGCCTCTACTGCTCCCCCTTTCCCTCCTCCTCGTCCCTCGCTCCTCGTGTCCTCTCCTCGTGCCTTGCCTCAGGTCGGGCACGTCCTCCTACAAGGGGTTTTTGGACGAAAGATCAATCATATATAGTCAAACAAGTACGCAAAATAATCGTCCCCAGACTATGTTTGACAATTTTTGAATTTTCCTCCTGTAGAGGGACAGGCCCGACTTAAGCCTTGCCCCACCCTCATCCCTCGTTCGTCCCCCCTCTTGATCCGCGCGCCGGGTCCGAAAACGACGGGGGCGCCCACGACGACCCAATCACGTGAGCGTGCGTGCACGCGCGGGGCCCGCGCGGGCGGAAGCGGTGCAAGAGGATGGGATCGGATCGACTCGGCAGACGGGAAGCGCTGAGAACCTCGGTGCCCTGAAGGGCTCCCCGTGGAGCCACAAGGATGGAATACAGAACGCATACAGTATCACACGCCAGCGCCGACAATCTTGTCGCCCCGGTCTGGGAGGAGGGATGGAGGGGGACGATGTGTTATTCCAGCGCGCTCAGCTGCACAAGCCGGTGACAGATACGTTTAAGCTCAGGCGGCACTCGCCTACACCGCTCACTAGCCTCGCTTGGGAAGCGCGTTCGAACACATGATCAGCATCACCATCACCCACCATTACCATCACCATCACAATCACCATCATCAGCATTATCACTATCGTCATCGTCACCCCCATCATCATCATCATCATCATCATCATCATCCTCATCATCCTCATCATCGTCATCATTGACATGATTAACGGCATCATCATCGTCGTCATCATCCTCGTCACCACCATCAGCATCACCGTATCCGTCTTCATCTTCAGCTTCACCATCATCATCATCATCATCATCATCATCATCATCATCATCATCATCATCATCGTCACCATCATCAGCATCATGTTCTTCATAAGGATCACCACCATCATCATCGGCATCATCATTATCCTCGTCATCACCATCATCATATTCATCGTCGTCGTCCTCCTCATCATCATCAGCAGCATCATCATCAGCAACCTCATCATCATCAGCATCAGCAGCATCAGCATCAGCATCCGCATCCGCATCATCATCATCATCATCACCAGCATCATCATCATCATCACCATCATCATCATCATCATCATCGTTGTACGGTGGGGGCCCGACCACAATAAACCTTCCGCAAGAAACCCAACCCTTGAGACCCCAGGACGTGCATTGATTTTTGGTGTGTGAACGTCACGCTCTCCATGGCAAAACCATCGAAGCCCAAGAAACCCAGGGCACCCTGGAGGCAAGCAGCGTGTTTCTTGGTATGGGCCCCCACTGTAACGCAACAACATGGAGCCTTCATGCGATTAACCAAAACAAGCGTGCAGAATGCCGACGTAGGCTGAGCACCAAACGAGCGAAGCCTGGCGAGCGCAGTAGGAAACATGGGGGGCAAAGAGACGCGAGCGCAACTCTTGCTGCGCCCCCTCCTGCAGATGTCGCCCGCAAAAGCAAGGAAAATCCCACCAGCCCTCTGGGCGTAGGTGGTCTAGAGCAGATCCTCTTCCACCCCTCCCTCTTCCCCCTTGGGGAGGGGTTTACCCCTCCCCCTACCCCCTCCCCTGGACCTGGACGGGGGGGGCCGCGGGTAGTTAGAGCGTCCCAGATGGCCCAAGACGGCTCCAAGAGCGCCTCAGAGAACCCAAGATGAGCTCCAAGATGGCTCAAGATAGCGCAAGATCGCTCGAGATGGCTCCTAAGATGGTTCCAAGAAGCCCAAAGACGGCCCCAAGATAACTCCAAGTGGCCAAACAGCTCCCCAAGGAGGCCCCGAAGAGGCCAAAATCGTCCCAAAACCTAAGGAAAATCAATGATTTTTGCTTTCTCGCCTTTTCGCTTCCGATGGCCATCCGAGGCCTGGAGATGGTTCCAAGATGGCCCAAGAGGGCCCCAAGAGAGCCCCAAAAGAGCCCCAAGACGGCCCCAAGAGCGCCCAAGAGCACTCCAAGAGCGTTCCAAGAGGGGTCCAAGAGGCGATTTTAGGGGCTTCCGAGGGGGGACGCTAATTAAACCCCCCCTCTTGTTTGATCGATCTCCTCCAAGATGGCCCCAAGAAGCGCCCAGGAAGCCCCAAGAGGTCCCAAGATGGCCCCAAAATGGCCCCAAGAGGCCCCCAAGAGGCCCCCCGGAGGCCCCCAAGAGACCCCCAAGAGGCCCCAAGAGCCCCCCCAGATGCACCCAAGATGCTCCAAGAGGCCTCGGCGAGAATGCCTAATCATTGATTCTACACAGGTTTTAGCCACATGGAGGCCTCTTGGGGGGGGGCACGGATTAAGATGACTCCAAGAGCGTCTGGGAGAGCCCAAAATGACCTCCAAGATGGCTCAAGATATCCCAAGATGTCTCATAATGGCTTCCTCTGTGTGCTGCCCACTTCTCTGATCGAGGCAATTCCTCTGGGCATCGTTTCTGGATGGGCTGGTGGGGATTCGCGAAGCGACAACAATTCAGCAGAAACTGCGTCACTCCGACGCCGCGATCCTGTTCAGGACGTGGGGCCCCGGAGCCCTGCCATCCTCAATATCATGAACATCGAGAGATGTCCTGGGGCCAATCGTCCCTCGTGGGTTTTTGATACTCCTGGGCCCCGCAGAGTCAACGAGCACGACGACAACGAAGACGTACACGGCGCCGCCAACGAGGACCACCGCCGCGACGTCCCACGGCGACGAACACGCATGGCGGCGACGGAGACAACGACGACGCCTGTAGACGACGACGACATTTATCGCCTTCTGAAATGCGCGGCATTGGAGGCCCCGACCCCTTGGCGACGTCTACCGTCTACCTCAAACGTGCCACGATCTGATTTTTCAACGCGCGGCATTGGAGGTCCCGACCCCTTCCCCGAGGGTACTTTTCGCGGGCCCGTGGGCCCGTTGACACCGATCATAAGGATGCGCGATAAGGACGCAAGGGCCTCGGAAGGCCGCTTCGACGCTTGCCCGCGAAAGCGGCCAAGGATGGATCCAGGAGGCAAGGATGCAAGGGTAGCCTCGGGAAGGCTGCCCATCCTTTAGAAGGAAGAGTGCTATGCACATGCGCCAATACTCGCCAGGCTCATCCTCGGGCCAGGATCGGTGCATACGCCTTAGTGGCTTGGCCAGGGAGGCAAAATGGGGGCACGCGATTTTTTTAATGGGAGCGACACGAATTTCTAAAAACAAAAAAGTTTCGCGGGGGGCGGGTAGGACACGAAAAGACCGCGCGCTCGCGGCGACGCTCAAGGGCGCTCGGGGCCGCGCGATTTTCACAGATCCTGGGCCCAGGATGGCCTGGCCAGGATCGGTGCATGTGCACAGTTCCCCTCGCCCGATCCTTACCATGCGTGTTGACTGTAGCGGGCCCCCGGGGCCGAACTCGAGGAGAAACGCCCGACGACGATGGCAGAACGACGGCGTCCGCGGCGCACAACGCCACGGAGGGGGCCCGCTCCTCGCGGCCTCCTCCGCCCCGCGCAGCCGCTCGGCCACCTCGGCCACGCGCCGGACGAGGGCCTGCATGGGGCGGCGGGAGCCGAGGGAGCCGGGAGCCCTGGGGCTCTCCCGCCATTTCCGGGCTGGGCCGCCGTCGCCGTCGAGGGGGGAGGAAGGAAGGAAGGAAGGAAGGAAGGAAGGAAGGGGAGGGGAGGGGAGGAAGGAAGGGAGAGGAGGAGGAGGAGGAGGAGGAGGAGGAGGGGGAGGAGGAGGAGGGGGAGGAGGAGGGGGAGGAGGAGACGAAGGAGGACGAGGAGGAGGAGGAGGAGGAGAGGGGGGAGGAGGAACATCATCCTCCTCGTTCGCCTCCTCCTCATCCTCCTCCCGCTACCTCTCCCGCGTCTCCTCTAACTTCTCCTCCCCCTTCCTCCTCTCTGTTATCTCTCCTTCCACCTCCCTCCCCCTCGTCCTCTTCGTCTCCTCCTCCTCCTCCTCCTCCTCCTCCTCCAACTCCTCCTCCTCGAGAACGGGAAGTTGTGGAGTCGCAGGGGGTCGAGGGCGCGCGCGCGAGGCTTTCGCGCTGAGTTCGCGACTCCTCCTCCTCCTCCTCCTCCTCCTGCTCCTCCTCCCTGTCCTCCCTCTCTTTCTCCTGTTCCCTCTCTGTTTTTTCTCCTGGTGTCTCCCCCCCCCCCCCAAAACAAAAAAAAGGAACAGAAAAAAACATCGGTATTGAGATTCGCTGTTTTTTTGTTTTCTTTTTTTTTGGGGGGGGGTCGGCGACGAAAAAAAGGAATGCGACGTGGCCTCATCTGCCCTCCCCCCTAGAAGGATTCCTACTGAACGCCCCCACAATAAGGATTCACCTCCGCCTCCGCCTCCTCCTCCTCCTTCTCCTCCCTCTCTGTTATGTTTTCTCCTGGTGTCCCCCCAAAAAAAAGAAAAAGACAAAAAATGAATTGAGATTCGCTGATTTGTTTTGTTTCTCTTTTTTTGGGGGGGGGTCGGCGGCGAAAAAAAAGGAATGCGACGTGGCCTCATCTGCCCTCCCCCCTAGAAGGATTCCTATTGAACGCCCCCACATTAAGGATTCATAGTGACATCCTCGACAGAAGGATTCCAATCGAAACCCTCCACTGAATGATTCCTACTGAAATCATGCACATGTGAATTTCTACTGAAACCCTCCACTGAATGATTCCTACTGTAATCCTCGAATGGCAATGGCAATGGGAATGGCAATGGTAATGGTAATGGTCATGGTAATGACAATGGTAATGGTAACGGTACTGGTACTGGTAATGGTAACGGTAATGGTAATTGAAACGGGGTAGCGACTGGCAATGGCAATGACAATGGCAATGGTAACGGCAATGGTAATAGCAATGGCAATGGCAATGGCAACGGCAATGGCAATGGCAATGACAATGGTAATGGCCATGGCAATGGTAATGGAAAACATAATAGTAATGGTAATGGTAATGGTAATGGTAATGGAAATGGGAATGGGAACGGGAATGGAAATAGTAGTGGTAGTGGTAATGGTAATGGCAATGATAATGGTAATGGTAATGGTACTGGTAACGGTAACGGTAACGGTAATGGCAATGGTGATGGGCATGGGAATGGAAATGGGAATTGTAATGGTAATGGCAACGGTAAAAGTAATGGTAATGGTAATGGTAACGGTAACGGTAATGGTAATGGCAATGGCAATGGTAATGGCAGTGGTAATGGCAGTGGCTAAGGGCCATGGCAATGGCAATGGTAATGGTACTGGTAATGGTAATGACAGAGGTAATGGTAATGGTACTGGTAATGGTAACGGTAATGGTAACGGGGTAGCGACTGGCAATGGCAATGACAATGACAATGGCAACGGTAATGGGAATGGCAATGGCAATGGCAATGGCCATGGCCATGGCAATGGTAATGACCATGGCAATGGTAATGGTAAGTGTAGTGGTAATGGTAATGGTAATGGTAATGGTAATGTGAATGGGAATGGGAATTGGAATGTGAATGGGAATGAGAACGGCAACGGGAATGCAAAAGGTAGTGGTAGTGGTAACGGAAATGGGAATCGCAATCGCCATTGTCATTGCCGTTTCCATAAGGTAAAGGGTATAGGGTAAGGGTAAGGGTAAAGGTAAAAGTAAAGGTAAAGGTAATGGTAATGGCAATGGCAGTGGTAATGGTAATGGAAATGGTAATGGTAATGGCAATAGTAATGGTAGTGGCTAAGGGCAATGGCAATGACAATGGCAATGGCAATGGTAATGACGGAGGTAATGGTAATGGTACTGGTACTGGTAACGGTAATGGTAACGGATAGCGACTGGCAATGGCAATGACAATGACAATGGCAACGGTAATGGGATTGGCAATGGCAATGGCAATGGCAATGGTAATGGCCATGGCAATGATAATTGTAGTGGTAATGGTGATGGTGATGGTAATGGTAATGGCAATGGTAATGGTAATGGTAATGGCAATGGTAATGGTAATGGTAATGGTAATGGTAATGGTAATGGTAATGGGAATGGGAATGGGAACAGCAACGGGAATGGAAATGGTAGTGGTAGTGGTAACGGAAATGGGAGTCGCAATTGCCATTGCCATTGCCGTTACCATAAGGTAAAGGGTAAAGGGTAAGGGTAAAGGTAAAGGTAATGGTAATGGTAATGGCAATGGCAGTGGTAATGGTAATGGTAATGGTATTGGGAATGGGAATGGTAATGGTAATGGTTCTGACAATGGTAATGGTAGTGGCTAAGGGCAATGGCAACGGCAATGGTAATGGGAATGACAATGGTAATGGTAATGGTACTGCTTATGGTGTTGGTGACGGTAACGGTAATGGTAATGGTAATGGCACTGGTAACGGGGTAGCGACTGGCAATGGCAATGACAATGGCAACGGCAACGGTAATGGCAATGGTAATAGCAATGGCAATTGCATGGGAATGGTAATGACAATGGCAGCGGCAATGGCCATGGCAATGGTAACCGTCATGGTAATAGTAATGGCAACGGGGTAGCGATTGGCAATGGCAATACAATGGCAATGGCAACGGTAATGGCAATGATAATGGCAATGGCAATGGGAATGGCAGTTGTAATGGCCATGGTAATGGTAATGGTAATGGTAAAGGTATAGGTAAACGTGAAGGTAATGGTAATGGTAATGGTAATGGTAGTGGTAATGGTAATGGTAATGGTAATGGTAATGTGAATGGGAATGGGGATGGGAATAGGAATGGAAATGGTAGTGGTAGTGGTAACGGAAATGGGAATTGTAAGGGTGAGGGTAAAGGTAAAGGTAAAGGTAAAGGTAAAGGTAATGGTAATGGTACTGGCAATGGTAAAGGTAATGGTACTGGTAGTGGTAATGGTATTGGGAATGGGAATGGGAATTGGAATGGACTGGCAATGGCAATTGTACCGGTACTGGCAATGGCAATGGTAATGGTAATGGTAATGGGAATGGTAAAGGTAATGGTAATGGTAGTGGTAGTGGTAGTTGTAGTGGTAGTGACAATGGTAATGGTAATGGTAATGGAAATGGTAATGGTAATGGTAAGGGTAATGATGAGGAGCAGCCTGAAAGATCGTAAAAACTCCTCTGGGACCCACAGCGACTCCACAATTTCCCGGCCTCTCCTCCTCCTCCTCCTCCTCCTCGTTCTCCTCCTCGTCCTCCTCCTCCTCCTCCTCTTCCTCCTCCTCCTTCTCCTCCTCCTCCTCCGCGCACATTTTCCTCCCAAGTCTCCCCCTCCTCTTCCTCCTCCTGCTCCTCCCTTGGCGGTGGGCGCCTGGGCGGGGGACCCCGTCTCCCGCAGCAAGTGGTCAAGGAGCAAGGGGCTCATGCCCCCCAGACCCCCCCCCGCGTCCTAAGGTCACGGCGGGATCTGCGGCAGTGTTCAGCACCTGGGGGCCCTCATAGGGCCCCAGGATAGGAACAAGGAAAGGCGACACCAACACCAACAGGGCGAGGAGATGCGGTGAGCAAGGGGGGGTCCCCCTGGTGGTGGTCCCCCCCTCTCGCTCGAGACATCCCCAGCCTCCAGCTCGGGGAGGCATCGTGGACCTCCTCGCTGGAGGTGGGCCCCCTGGTGGCGTTGGTGTCGCATCTCCCCCCTCCGACAGGACCGCCAACAGAGGTGAAGGTGAAAAGCCTCATCGCGGGGAAGGGGGCAAGACACCGTGGTCCGTGGTCCGCCCTGCGACAGGATCACGACGTCAGGGGTTTGGGACCCAGGGGTCGAGGCGGACAAGGCGCAGACCTCGAGGAGGGGGGGGGAAAAGGAGGAGAAGGAGGAGGAGGAGGAGGAGCAGCAGGAGCAGGAGCAGGAGAAGGATGATGATGAGGAGGAGGAGGAGGAAGGTTCTGACAATGTTTGACAATGTTTGGCCCCTTCGGGGAAGTTCTATCCGCCACGGGTGGATCCCCATCGAGGTTCTGACCAGAACGCGCCCCTGGACAGGTCTCGGGATTCTGGACCAGAAAACGAACGACACCAACCCATCTACGGCCCCATGGGGCATAGCGTACACCAGGGAATCTGGCGTGGGTTTTTGTGTGATATGACGCTACGGCGCAGGGCTGGACCTGAACGTTGTTGTTCGTTCTGTTTTCGTGTTGTTGCTGGTGTTGCTCTACCTGTTTTTGTTGCACCTCCCTGCCAAAACGAAACACAAAACAACGCCGAAGTCCAGCAAAACAACGCTTAGTTCCAGCCCTGCTGCGGCGCCCGATGGACCGTAGCGCAACATGGAGGGCCGTAGGCGGGGTGGTGTCGCTTGGTTTTTGGTCGAGATCCCGAGCCCTGGCCTCCGGAGTCACCGAGCAAAGATCGCGATCGTCGGCCTCCCCGGCCTGGACCCCGAGATGGGCTGTGTCTGGGCCTCCCAGACCGTCAGAACAGTGCCCAGGACACACAGCCAGCCCTGGACCGAGGAGCCTCAGGACGTGTGTTACCACAAGAGACCTTCCACAAGAAACCCAACCCTGAGACCCCAGGGCGTCTACTGATTGTTGACGTGGGCACGTCACGCTCTCCATGGCAAAACCATCGAAGCCCAAGAAACCCAGGGCACCCTGGAGGCAAGCAGGGTGTTTCTTGGTATGGCCCCCCACTGTAGAGCTTCTGGCCGCCTCCTTTCCCCCCCCTCTCGGTACGCTATTCTGGCTGGCGCCTCCGCAACCGCAATGTGATCCTCACCCGTCCTCCTTCCCGGACATGCGACGTCCTGATTTTCTTAAGGCGCGGTCCCTGGAAATCCCGACCATCTCCCCGGGACCAGCTTCTCGTTCTGAATCGTTTTTGGACGGTTCCGGGGCCCGGCGAGGGCCCCGAGAGGACGAAAATGGCGAAAGACATCCCCTCCTGGATGTTTTAACGACGCGAGCATGTCTGGGATTTCCTCCTCCTCGACCAAGGCACTCGAGCCAGCGTAGGGCTCCAGGCCCACGTGCCGCGCACCTCCGAGGAGGCGCGGGCCAGCTGCAGCTCACTGCGGAGACCCCGCCGTCCATCCGCCTGGGAAGCTGGTGCGCCAAGCCGACCGGCCAGCCCTCCCAGGGTCCCTTGCGGGAGAGCTGGGCCAGAAAACAAACGACACCACCCCGGCTTAGCGTATACCAGGAAAGCCGACGTGGGCTTCTGCGTGGTATGTGCTGCGGCCCCCGGTGAGACGTAGCGCAACATGGAGGGCCGTAGGTGGGGCCGTGTCGCTTGTCTTTGAGTCGGAGAACATCAGATGGGGAGAAATTCAGATGAAGATGAATTCGGGGATCTACTGACCCGGGTCAATGCAAACTCGCATCAGTCAGACGTTGTGCAAGATCCTGCGAGACCCCGCAGGATCCTGTAGGCTCCTGCACCCTGCGCCCCTGGCCCTGCAGGATCCTACAAGATCTGACGCTCTGGCTGACCCCCGCTTGCATGGACCCCGTCTCTTGAGCTAGGTCGGGCATGTCCCCCTACAGGCCGATCTTGGGCGAAAAATTCAAAGGACTCCAAAAGCGCACACAGTGGAAGAATCGCCCCCCGACTACGCTCTGACTCCTTTCGGAGATTCCTCCCGTAGAGGAGGGACAGGCGCCCGACTCAACGCCTGCATGGCCCCCCTGCCTCTCGAGCCCCGCAGGCTGGCAGTCGAGGAGCTCGACGGCAGCCGGCGGTTCCGGCGGATGCCTCGGGCCCCGCGGCTGCTCCAGAGCGGTCCCGGACGCCCTGCAGGGCGTTCCGGAACACTCCGGACGTCGGGGCTGAACCGAAACGGTGTTTCTCGTTTTCGTTTTGTATTCGTTTTCCCTCGTTTCGTCTCCGATCCGCCTTTACCGCAAAACGAAATCGAAACAACGAAAACAGCTCGCGAAATCGCCAAAACACCGTTTAGGTCCACCCCTGCTGGATGTTCCCCCTCCTACAGCCGGGGGCTGCAAAAGGTGCCCCTGGCCTTCAGTCGGGCCTATCACTCTACAGGAGGGATATTCGAAAATTAGTCAAACAAGAGTCAGGGGAATTTTTTCCAGATGTTTGAACATCTGTTCCCTACCCAGGCTCTGCCTAGAAGGGTTCTTACTCTCTGGGCTTAAAGGGGCTGTGCAGTGGAAAGCGCCCCGGGCGGTTCCCCCAGTATCCGCCCCGCGGTTCCCCCAGTTGCGCCCCCTTAGCTTAGCTTTGTTTATCTCATCTTAGCTTAGCCTAGCTTAACTTAGCTTAGCTTAGCTTGGCCTCGCCTAGCTTAGCTCAGCTTAGCTTAGCCTAGCCTAGCTTAGCTTAGCCTAGCCGAGCTTAGCTTAGCTCAGTTTAGCCTAGCGCAGCATTAGCATAGCATAGCATGGCATGGCATAGCATAGCGCAGCATAGCATAGCATAGCATAGCATAGCATAGCGCAGCATATCATAGCATAGCGCAGCTTAGCATAGCATCGCATAGCATCGCATAGCTTAGCATAGCACAGCGCAGCATAGCATAGCATAGCGCCACTCTGGTGAAACCGCATATTCCAGCGCCGATGATGCACCGATCTGGGAGTTGCTGCTGCTGTAAAGTTTCGTAGGAACTTTCGGTGTAGCAAGTGTTGCACAAATTTGCTCAATGCCAAGTCGTGCGGTGTAGACCGGATACGGAGCATTCTCAAACACACCCGGTGAGCGAATGCGAGAACATGCGTGTGTGTGTGTCTGTGCGCAGGCAAAGCAAAAACACAATCAAGCAACAACAAAAACAAAAGCAAAGCAAAAGCAACAGCAAAGCAAAAGCAAAAGCAAAGGCAAGGCACTGCAAAGCAAAAGCAAAACCAATGCGAAAGTGTAGATGTAGATGTAGATGTAGGTGTAGGTGTAGATGTGGATGTAGGTGTAGATGTAGATGTAGATGTAGATGTAGATGTAGATGTAGGTGTAGATGTAGGTGTAGATGTAGATGCAGATGTGAGTCTCGCTGTTGATGTTGATGTAGATGTAGATGCAGGTGTAGATGTTCATGTAGCTGTCGGTGTAGATGTAGATGTTGCGTTCCTAGATGCTCCTACTCCTAGGTAGGGTCGCACTGGGATAATTGAACATGTTTGACGATTGGTTCCCTACCCAGGCTCTGCCTAGAAGGGTTCTTACTCTCTGGGCTTAAAGGGGCCGGGCAGTGGAAAGCGTCCCGGGCGGTTCCCCCAGTATCCGCCCCGCGGTTCCCCCAGTTACGTCCCCTTAGCTTAGCGTTGCTTATCTCATCTTAGCTTAGCTTATTTCATCTTAGCTTAGCTTAGCTTCATCTTAGCTCAGGTTTATCTTAGCTTAGCTTACCTTCATCTTAGCTTCGCTGAGCTTTAGCATAGCAGAGCACAGCATAGCAAAGCATAGCGTAGCATAGCGGCACTGGGTGTAATTCCCTACCTAGGTTCCGCCCAGAGGGTTAGCTTAGCTTAGCTTAGCATAGCGCAGCGCTGCATTAGCATAGCATAGCATAGCATAGCATAGCCAATCATAGCATAGCATAGCATAGCGCAGCATAGCATAGCATAGCATATCATATTATAACATAGCGCAGCTTAGCATAGCATAGCATACCATAGCTTACCATAGCACAGCGCAGCATGACACATCATACCTTAGCATATCATAACATAGCATATCATATCATATAATATCATAGCATAGCATAGCGCAGCATAGCATGGCATAGCATAGCATAGCGCAGCATAGCATAGCAACCAATGCTGCTTTCCTAGGGGCTCCAACTTCTAGGTAGGGTCGCACTGGGGCAATCATTCTTCATCCAATATCCGCCTGTAGGAGGAGGACACGCCCGACCGAACCCTGGCCCAAGGTGCCCTCAGCTTTTCGCTCCATTCTGGAGCCCCCCGGGGCCCCCCCGGCCTCGTGGGGGGTGCTCTGGAGGCCGTGGGGGCCTCCTTGGAACTTCTGGGGGGCACCATGGGCCAGGGGCAATTCTGGCCACACCCGACGCAGGTCTGCCTCGGTGGAACTCTGGAGTCCCCCCTCCGTCTCTCCAGGAGGGCGGGAGGTGCCCGCTGGACTCAGATCGGGCGTGTCCTCCTACAGGCGGAGTTAGGACGAAAAATGCAAAATAGTCAAACATCTCTATATATATATTATAATAATTATTATTATTGTTATTATTATTACTATTACTATTACTATTATTATCAGTATTAGTATCAGTATTATTAATAGTATTAGTATTCGTAGTATTATTATTATTATTAATTTGCTTATTATTATTATGATTATTATTGTTATTATTATTATTTTTATATGAATAAAAAATAATATTATAATAATACTACTGATAATAATATTAATATTATTAATAATAATGATAATACTAATAATATCAATAATAATAAAAAACAATAATAATAATTCGTCCCCGTAATAGTTGTTGATTCTTTTCGAAAACATCCCTCCTGTAGAGGGACGGGCCCGACTCAATGCTAGACGCGGCTTCTCCACGGCGCCCCTCGGGAGCCCGCGGGAGGCCGACGCCCGCCGGAGCGGCGGGGGGGGAGGGCGCCTCCTCGGCCATGCTCGAGATCGGCTCGCCGTCGCTGTCCAGGTCCTCGGCGCGCTGTCGTGCGCGCGAGCGCCAGGAGGGCCCAGCAGGAAACAGCCGCTCTTCGGGCCACCTGGCCGATTTCGGCCTGAATCCAAAAGCGTTTTCGTCTCTTGGGGGCGCATCTTTTACTTCCGCCGACTTCCGCCGCCCTTCCGCCGGCTTCCGCCGGCGGAGGCGGCCTCGTCTTACTTCCGCCGACCGTCCGCCGCCTTCCGCGGCGGAAGAGGTGACAACTCCTTCATCTGGGTCGCTCGCTTGTGGAAGTGATGCCTGATGTGCACTGGTGCTGGTGGGAGGGGCGCAGACGGAGGATGATCACGGAGGACGATCAAGAAAAAGATGTCGTCTGATCTGCGGCGCACCCTCCCGTGCGCGCCCATGGTGGGCATGGGGGTTGACAGTTCAAGAGATAGTCTCGCCCTCCAACTTGAATGCGTCACTCCTGGCAATCACGAAGGGGCCCCTGGCCGAAAGGGAAGGCTCTCTTTTCAACCGCCAATCCAGCTTGGCACATTTGGATGGTCTCCTGGCGGGCCCCAAAACCCAGCAGCCTGCGCGCACTGGAGTTCGCTGGAGCTGCGGCCGATGAGGGGCGTCGATCAAGCGATTGCAAGGATCGTCGCACGCCAACCAGCGGAGAAAGGGCAAGAGGAGGCTGAGAGGTGCCCGTGGGCCAACGTCCCGCCTGACCACGGCTCGCCAATCATCCCGTCAGGTCGGGCATGTCCTACTACAGGCGGATTTGGGAAGAGAGATTAGTCTGGCGAAGGACCCAACCATACGCAGTTGTGAATACCGTCGTTGTTGGTATCGCCTTCGGTGGATCTCCTTATGGAGCCACGAAGCGCGTAAAGAGTGTGCCGAGATGGGGCGGGGCCGCCATGCGGGCGCTGCTGCTGGGGCCTGATGTAGAGCCCCCCTTGTGGGGCCACAAAACGAGTGAGGGATGTGCCGAAATGGAGCGGGGGCGCCATGCCGGCGGAGCCTCTGGTGAAGCTCCCTATGGGGCCAGGAAACGTGTGAGGGGTGTGCCACAATCGGGCGGCGCCGCCATGCGGACTGCGCCACTCGGACCTTAGGTTGAGCTCCATGCGGACTGCGCCACTGGGACCTTAGTTGGAGCCCCATGGGGCCACGAAGCGTGAGAGGTGTTCTAAAATGGGGCGGCGCCGCCATGCGGACTGCGCCACTGGGACCTGAGGTGGGGTTCCCTATGGGGCCACGAAACATGTGTGTGCCAGGGCGGCGCCGCCATGTGGACTGCGCCACTGGGACCTTAGGTGGAGCTCCCTATGGGGCCACGAAACGTGCGAGGAGTGTGCTGAAACGGGCGATGCCAATGATGATGAGAGGAGGAGGTAGGGGGCAGTGAAAGAGTGACGCAGGGCGCTGTCTCTTCAAAACGAGGACCCAACACCACAGGATGGTTGGAAATAAAAAGTGATCAAGCATATTCAAAACGAATCCATCAAAAACCTGATATTGCCGCGAACCCCGACCTGGGAGGAGAAGTTGCAACTGGGACTGCCCCCGTGTCGCAGAGGGGGCCGGAGGCGGGCGGAGCAACTGATATAGGTGGGCGGAGCAACTGGGCCAGGAACTGGGCAGACTGCCCCAGACTGCCCCCACTGCCTTAAACTGCCCTAGATTGCCCCAACTGCCCGAACGGTTGTCGGCAATGTCCGTTTGTGGCCTCCGTCCCCCTCCTCCTCCTCCTCCTCCTCCTCCTCATTATTATCATCATCATCCGCATCATGAACACCACCACCACCATCACTATCATCACTATCATCATCATCATCATCATCATCATCATCATCATCATCATCATCATCAGCATCAGCATCAGCATCAGCATCAGCATCATCATCATCATCATCACGCCAATATCATCATCATCGTCATCATCATCATCATTATCATTATTATCATCATCATCATCATCATCATCATCATCATCATCATCATCACCGTCATCATTAACATCATCGTCGTCATCATCATCACCACCACCACCGTCATCATCATCATCATCATCATCCTCATCATCATCACCACCATCATCATCACCACCACCACCACCACCACCACCACCATCATCATCATCATCATCATCATCATCATCATCATCATCATCATCATCATCATCATCATCACCCTTTCCCCTTCCTCATCTTGTCCCCGTTCTCCTCCTGCTTGCCGTCGACGTCCTCCTCCTCCTCCGCCTCCACCTCCTCCTCCTCTGTCCTCATCCTGCTTGCCGTTCCCCGTCTGGTTTACGGTCCCCGGCATTGTCCGGTTTTGATCTCTGTCCTCCTCCTGCTCCTCCTCCTCCTCCTCGTCCTCGTTCCAATCTCCGTCCTCATCCTGCATGGCGTCCTCCTCCTGCTTCAGAGTTCCCGGCATTGCCCGTTTTATGCTTTCCGTCCTCCTCCTCCTCCTCCTCCTCCTCGCCGTCCGCCTCCTCGCCCTTGTGCTCATTCTGATTGCTGTCGTCGTCGTCGTCGTCGTCGCCCTCCTCCCCCTCCTCCTCCTCCTCCTCCTCCTCCTCCTCCTCCTCCTCCTCCTCCTCCTCATCCGTACTTATCCTGCTCTCCCTTACGTGTTGGTTCCTCGCATTGTCCGTCTTTGGCCTCCGTCCCGTATTCCGCATCCTCCTTCTCCTCGTCCTCATCCTCGTTCTCTGCCTTCAAGCGGCTTCCTCCTCCTTCTCTTCCTCCCTCCTCTCCTCCTTTTCTCCTCCTCCTCCTCCTCCTCCTCCTCCTACTCTTCCTCCTCCTCCTATTGATTGCCGTCGTCGTCCTGCTTGCCGCCCTCCTCCTCCTGTTTAACCGTTCCCGGCATTGTCCGTTTTATGCTTTCCGTCCTGTTCCTCTCATCTACCTCTTCTTCCTCCTCCTCATGGTGCTCATCCTGATTGCCGCTTTCCTCCTCCTCCTCCTCCTCCTCTTTCTCCTCCTTCTCCTCCTCCTCCCTTTCCTCGTAAGCATATTCTTCTCCTCGTGCTCGACGGTTCCCGGCCCTGCCCGTTTTTGCCCTCCGTCCTCCTCCTCCTCCTCCTCCTCCTCCCATCCTCCTCCTCCTCCTCCTCCTCCTCCTCCTCCTCCTCCTCCTCCTACCCCTCCCCCCTCCTCCTCTTTTTTCCCTGCCTGCCCTCCTCCTCTTCCTCCTTCTCCTCCTCCTTCTCCCCCTCCCCCTCCCCCATCCTCCGCGTCCCTTCCTGCCTGCCCTCCTCCTCCTCTTCCCCTTCCTCCGCCTTCTCCTTCTCCTCCTCCTCCTCCACCTCCTCCTCATTTTCCTTCTTGTCCTCCTCCGGCCAAGCCGAGCCGGCGCGCGAGTCAGCCGAACTGGAGGGCGACGAGGACGAGGACGAGGCCAAAGGCGACGACGTCCTCTCCACTGGAAGCGGGCCCTGGGCCCCTCCTCGGGTTGCTTGGGGAGCAGCGTTCGGAGCCGAACCTGTCCGCGGTTTCGAGGGAAACGCCTCGAAGGCTCTCCACCTCCTGCTTTTCGTTGTCGTCGTCGCCCTCCTTTTCTTTCTCCTTCCCCTCCCCTCCTCCTCCTCCTCCTCCTCCTCCTCCTCCTCGTACCGCTACTACTACTTCTTTGCCTTCCTTTTCTGAGAAGCCCACGAAGCAAGAGAGGGAGAAGGTGGGGGAGGAGGTCTCAAAGGAGAGGGAGGAGGGGTCGCGCTATTTTTCTGGCGCCCTCGCCTGCCGTCCGCTTTGCGGGGGGCGGCCCGCGAATCTCTTCTGATAGATGTAAGAGAACAGGAAGAATACAGCAAACTTGGTATAACACATCAAAGAAACAACGCAGAGCCCGAATAAGGTTCCGGGCGTCTGGGTGTCTTCGACGTTCGGGTGTCCAGAGGAGCACCACTAAAGGGTTCGGGTGTCTGCGACGTTCGGGATGAGGAAGCCTCCTATGCCACCGAATCGGAGCATGTCCCCCGTCTGCTCGTGGCGAAGCTGTTGACGAGCACCCTCGGAACCGACAACGTCGTTGCTGAAGAAGAGGAGGTTTCGCACGGCCTCCCGCAACGAGGCGGGAGCGTTGTCCGGAAACAAGCGCTCTCGGAAGCCGGCTTTGTCACCCTTGGAGTCGAAGGCGGATCGGAGTTGGGTCCCCGTGGCCTGGCAGACAAGGTTCACGCTGGTTTGGAAACCTCTACGTCGTACGTGGGCTCCGGCTCGGGGCGTGAACTCCATCCTTCGCCAGGAGTCGTGCAGGACGCACAGGAAGTCCAGATCGGCAGCCCAGCGTGGTTGGGCTGGCGGGACGAAGGGCGTGGTTCCCCTGGTGCATTGCGCACGCGGTTGAGCGCCGCGCTTGGCAAGAGGGCAGTCATGTGGCAGAGCTGCGTGGACTTCATAGCGGAGCTCAGCACGTAGCAGGAGCATGCGACGCCATTCCTGGAAAGACAGCGGGCGGCGTCGGTCGATACCAAAGACGCCATCACCGTGCGGGAACAGGTGGGGGAAGGCTTTTTGCCAGAATGTTTTGTCGTACGTCGAGAGGGGTCGCTATCCTGTAGGGATGACCCAAGTGCCGTCAGGGTTTTGCCGGGCGGCACGCTCTCGGCCTTCTGCCGCGTCCATGGCCTGTAAAGCGCTGTCATATTGCTTGCGGTATTCGTCAGTGTTCAGGTGATTTGCCAAGGCCTGCAGGGACTCAATGTCGGTGGCGACGACGGTGGTGGGTGCATCTGTGGAAAGTTTGGAGGGCAGGAGCTCGAGCTTGGCAGCGAACTCGCAAGCCGCTCGGTCAGCATCCAGCGCACCCGTGGAGAAGTCGGTTGCGGCGCAGTGGAGGTTGACGTCGTCGGAGTCGGGGCAAAGGTCGTCGGCGGTCTCTGCGGTCACGGGGCGCTGGTTTTCGGGCGGTGGCGCGGGGTCGTGCTGGACGTTGGGCTTCGTGCTGGCGCTTGCATCCTCCATGGCCCTCCCGTCTTCTGTGACGATGCTTTCTGGCACGGGGACTTCGGGCGCGTCGAGCGTGGCTGGCCCAAGGATGAGGTGCGGCGTGTGGGTGGTAGCTTGAACGCCAGTGGCTTGCTGGAGGACTTCAGCGCAGCTGTGTCCCGCTCCTTGGAGTTGTCGTGTGGCTTCGTCCTCGTCGATGTCGAGTGCGCGGTGAGCTCCCGAGTGAGCCACGCAGAAACGCACTGCCGTCATGCATGCTTCCCGAGGGACTTCGGCCCACGTGGCTTTGTCCAAGTCGTCTACGGATGCTCCCGCAAGTGCGATGGAGAGGCCGTCTGCGAAGAACTGCTGAGAAACTTCAGGTTCGGCAGGTAGGGCATGGGTCACGAGCTCCTTCGCGCAGGCTCGCGGGCAGCAACTTGAATTGCTCCGCAACCCCTTCTGCTTCGTCCGGGGATCCGCCTTCTTTGTCTTCTCGGCGATATTGCCCGAACGAGCATGCGGGCGAGGGCGAGCATGGCGAACGTCATGGGGGAGAGCTTCGCACCGTTCTTCCGGAATGCGACAGGTTCTCGCAAGATGAGGTTGTCATTGGCCAGAGCGCACCGAGGGAGGAGGGGCGTTTTCTTGGAGAGGTCGAGTCTGCAGCTGAGGCACGTGGGCATGCAGGGGAAGCGGCCCTCGGAGTCCGGCTGCAGCGTGTTGTCCGGGCGTAGGCCGGGGCCACCGTCCGTGGAGACAAGGGTGGCTGTGGTGTCCAGTATCCAACGGCAGGCAGACCGTCTGAATCTGTGGCCCAAGGGTGCACGACGCTTGCGCCGTAGACCTCTGCTCGGGGCAGGGCACGGTGGCCCCCCCGATGATTCGGGGGCCCGCCATCGGTCCATGTAGGCATCTGCTGAGAGGAGGTCGTTTAGCCTGCATGCACGAGAGTGCAACCTGGGCGGAGCCTCGTTGGACTTGACCATCGTCGCCGTCGTAATCCTCGTCGAGGTCCGGGCGAGGCCTGCCTGTGGAGCCTTCGGCGGGCCGCGGCTTGAACAGCTCGAACTCTTCGAGGTCTTCCTTCCAGAAAGTCATGGCGCACACAGCGCAGCCGCGTAGACCTCGTTCTTGGCCGTTGTGTAGTGCAAAGTCGCGGTTGATTATGTGCGTTCCGGGGTAGCTGTGCGTTTGATGGCGTGCACGTGCGCTCGCGGCGCGTCGGATTTCTTGGCCTGCAACAGGAAATGGGCCATCGCGCTCCTCGTAGTAGAAAGCTCTCTTTCGGTACTCTTCCTCAACGCGCGCGGCGTCGAGCCCGGCGACGCTGCAGCGAGCCTCGGGCAAGTGCTCGCTGAGGCCGCCGCCCCCGAAAGGGGGGGGGCGCAGGGAGCGAGTAAACCGACGCGAACAGGGACGCATCGGAGGGCGCGTGTGTGACAGGGGTGCGTCGCGAAGAAGAAGAGCGGGGCAATGAACGGGCCTTGTGTAGTTTGTGGGTGAGGCGGGCTTGCGGATAGCACGAGGCGTGGAGGCGACGCAGGGGCGCAAGTGGCACGAATGGAGTTGCGGCGGGGGGATGGTGCGAAGGTAGGGGGAGAGGCGGAAAGAGCCACAGGCGCGTTGCATAACGAGTCCTTAGAGTCGCATCCACGACCACAGAGGTAGCGCGGGACGGGGGCGCCACAGAGCGGTAGACGAGAGAAGGAATGCCGAGCGCCGTTGTCACGGGGAAGGTGGGCTGGAAAGTAGGAGTCGCAGATCGCCGTGTCAGTCCAGATATCGCGGCCCAGCTGCCTCTCCCATTGCTGGGTCTCCTCTTCGGAGAGCTGGGCTCGGAAGAACCTTCCGGCTCAGAACCGGGTGGGATCTGCGCTGGTCGCCGAACCGAGCCTGTCGGGCGACCGCCAGTTGACGCGCCAACTCCGCTTCATTGTGCGCTTGATTTTGCCCCGGGTGGGTTCGAGCAGCGGGTAGCCTATGGTTCGCGTCTTTGAACGCGACAATATCGTTGAGCAAAGTGTCCTCTTCCCAGTCGAATGTCTCGGAGGTGTCGGGCAGGGAGTTCAAGAGGTCCACGGTGGTTTGCCGCGCAGCGCGCTCTTCTGGGGCCAGTGGCGCCCTCGGGGTCCAGGAAGAACCCATCCGGGGAATCTTCGTGCGGGCAGCAAGGGCGTGATGTATACATTTGCGAAGTAGACGCTCCTGTCGAAGGCGTGGTTGAGGTGGGCGACGGTGGTCGTCGATGGAGTCGCGCAGTGCAATGGCCAAGTCTGTTCGGGAAAGCCTCGCGCATGCAACTTCGTAGATGAGGTCAGACCGCGGGGGGTCCCGGGAAGACGTAGAGGATAAGCGGAGGGCGCTCCGAGCGGCCTCCTGGCGCAGAGTGTCGTAAGGGCATGTCCGTAAGGCGTGCAAGGCGCCCGCTGTAATCGGCGGGGTGGCGTAGAGCTCGGCGTCTGCAAGGATATGTTTCGCACGTTGCCGACGATGTCTTCCCAGGTCGGCGGGGCCAATGTCATCGGCGAGGCGCCGCGCGTCGAGGACGGGGTCGAGCGCGACGTCGCTGCGCGAGGACAGCAAAGGGCAAGTGTCGAGAGCAAGCTGGAGTAAGGGAGGCCACGCGTCTGGATGTTGCTTAGCCCACTGCGCGACGGCGGCGAGGCGGAGAGGTTGATCCCAAATTGGGATGCGCAGCAGCAGGTGGACCTGATGAACGATCTTCTCGATGTACTCATGTAGGTGAGCGGCGCAGAGTTGCTTGTCGAAGGGTAGGCCGAGTGCTATGCACCAGGCTGTGATAGCGACTGGGGCGTCAGCGCGGGCGGCGTGGAGTTTCCACGTGGGCAGCCAGGCGCGCAAGTGTCGTTCCCAATCTTCCGGGTGCTGGCGAGCCCATTGCTTGATGAAAGCCGCGTCGAGGTGGTGGGGCCGCCCAGGCTCCGCTCGCAATATGGCAGTTGCGTCGACGATTTGGCGGATGTACTGGGGCCTCAGATCGCTTCGGAAGCCTTTGAACGGAATGAGAAGGGCTGCGCGCCAGTCCTCGATCGTAGCCTCGTCGGGGCCCTCTGCTTTCTCGCGGGTTTCCAGACGGACAGTCCGCGCCGTAACTGTGTCTCCCAAGTGGGGGGTGCATTGTGGGCCCAGTCTTGGATGAATGCGCGGGTGAGGAGAGGTGGCCGCTGAGGCCAAGGCGGGTCGGGGGGGCCTGGGTTGGGCGGTGGCTGTGGCGATGTGGTCTGTCAGGCGTTGTCGGTGAGCCTCGTCGTAGCTGTGAAGAGGAATGTTCAGAGCGACGCACCAGTCTTCGACGGAGGTGTCCTTGGGTCGTCGCCGGTGGGATGCTATGGGGCACGCGGAGAGGGCGTGTCGCAATTTGAGTTCCCAATCTGGGCTGTGCCGTCGCGCCCATGCGCGTATGAAACTGTTGGTGATGTCGGGCGGCCATGCTTGCGCGAGTGACCGAGCTGCTGTGAGAATGCGTTGCACGTACTCGGAGCGCAAGTCGTTGCGGAATTATTTTAATGTGACGCCGAGGGCGATGCACCCATCTTCGATTGGGATGTCTATGCTGCCGTGTCGTTGTCTCTTTAAAAAGGGCTCCATGCCTGTAGGCCCGACTCCAGGGTCGCTTCCCAGCCGTCTCCTTGGGACGCGATCAATGTGGCGATGAAGTCGGTGGTGAGAAGGGGGGGCCATTCGGGGGGGGCGTGCGTTCCGATGGCGAACTTGGTGCAAGTAGGCGCGCTGCTGTGAGGATCCTCTGCGCGCACTCGGAGCGCAGCTCGTTGTTGTACCCCTTGAAGGGCACGCCCAAAGCGATGCACCAATCTTCCATTGTGATGTCAGTGCTGCCGTTTCGCTGCTTCTTTTGAAGGCTCCATGCTTGTAAGCCCGATTCCAGGGTCGCTTCCCCGCCGTCTCCTTGGGACGCGATCCATGTGGTGACGAAGTCGGTGGTGAGGCGGCGAGGCCATTTTGTTTGGGGCGTGCGTTCCGAAGGCGAGCTTGGTGGAAGTAGGCGCGCTGCTGTGAGGATCCGTTGCACGTACTCGGAACGCAAGTCGTTGTTGTACCCCATTGAAGGGCACGCCCAAAGCGATGCACCAATCTTCGATTGCGATGTCAGTGCTGCCGTTTCGCTGCTTCTTTTGAGGGCTCCATGCTTGTAAGCCCGACTCCAGGGTCGCTTCCCAGCCGTCTCCTTGGGACGCGATCCATGTGGTGATGAAGTCGGTGGTGAGGTGGTGAGGCCATTTTGTTTGGGGCGTGCGTTCCGAAGGCGAACTTGGTGCAAGTAGGCGCGCTGCTGTGAGGATCCTCTGCGCGCACTCGGAGCGCAGGTTGTTGTTGTACCCCATTGAAGGGCACGCCCAAAGCGATGCACCAATCTTCGATTGCGATGTCAGTGCTGCCGTTTCGCTGTCTCTTTTGAGGGCTCCATGCTTGTAAGCCCGACTCCAGGGTCGCTTCCCAGCCGTCTCCTTGGGACGCAATCCATGTGGTGATGAAGTCGGAGGTGAGGTGGCGAGGCCATTTGGTTGGAGTCGTGCGTTCCGATGGCGAGCTTCGTGGAAGCAGGCGCGCTGCTGTGAGGATCCGTTGCACGTACTCGGAGCGCAAGTCATTGCGATACCCTCCAAAGGGCACTTCGAGGGCGATGCACCAGTCTTCCACGGTAATGGTGGTGAGGCCCTGACGCTGGGCTTTACGGGGCTTCCATGTTTGGAGACCCGTTGTCAGAGACGATTCCAAATTGTCGCCATGAGTCGCAATCCAATCCGAAATGAAGGCCGGGATGAGTGTGCGCGGCCAACGCGTCGGCGAAGGCATGTGCGCTCGGGGTATGGCGATGCAGGAATGTCGCCAAACGTGAAACACATTGCAGCAGGCCTGGGGGGTCGCGCGCCCGGTCGGATCCAAGTGGCGACGGATCCTGGGGGCTCCAGGGCAGGCGATGGGGTAATGGGGCAACATGAAAATCATGTTGGAGGCCTATTGTACCGCAGTCCGGAGAGAAAGGTAGCGGGAAGAAAGATGGTGCGCGTCTTGGAGGTGAGCTCAGCACGCGACCATGCGAGGGACGAGGTGAGCTCAGCACGTTCCCATGAGAGCCACCACCAGGAAGCCGGAGAGAAATGTAGCGGAGAAAAAGATAGTGCGTCTTGGAGGGGAGCTCAGCACGCGACCATGCGAGTGACGAGGTGAGCTCAGCACGGTCCCATGCGAGCCACCGGCGGGGGGAGGGTGTTGCGGGTTCACATGGCGGGCGAGGCAAGGGAGTAGGAGGGTCCTGGAGGCCCCTGGGGGCCTTGGGTATCGTGAGAGGTTGTGTCGGGAACGTTTCTAAGGAAAAGGTGGCCAAAAAACGACGGTACGTGTTGGAGGCGGGGTCCGCACGCAACCAGGCGAGTCAGGAGGTAAGCTCAGCACGTGTCCATGCGAGCCACATGAAAGGGAGGGGGGAGCTCAGCACGCGACCATGCGAGTCACGAGGTAGGCTTAGCACGTTTCCATGCGAGCCACAGGAAGGGAGGGGCGCGGTTTCGCATGACGGGCGAGAGAATGGAGTTTGGGGGATCTGGAGGTCCTGGGGGCTCTCGGGTTGTGCTGGACGTTATGTCGGGCACGTGTCTGACTGTATGAGGACTGGATTGGACGACTTGCGGCGTGAGGCTCCTGGGGGCCTCGGGTTTCGTTAGAGGTTGTGCCGGGCACGTTTCTGAGGAAAAGGTGGCCCAAATAAACGACGGTACGTGTTGGAGGCGGGGTCCGCATGCGACCAGGCGAGTCAGGAGGTGAGCTCAGCACGTGTCCATGCGAGCCACATGGGAGGGAGGGGGTGAGCTCAGCACGCGACCATGCGAGCCACGGGGCAAGCTCAGCACGTTTCCATGCGAGCCCGTTACGCTGAGATGTGCAACGCACATTGCATTGGTTTCGGGTTGTCCGTTTGACGCGGTGACGCTTTGTCGAGGCGCCTCCAGCCGTCATGGGGCCTTTTTGGGGCTGTTGTGATACCCTTTTGGGAGATTGTGGAGGCGTGCTGGAGACCTCTGAGGGAGAGCTCAGGAAATGTCTATACGAGCCAGGAA